ACCCTTCTCTTTTCGGACATTCCTCAGCGCCCGAGGTATCTGGACGACCTCTGATTAGGTTGCCTGGCAGCTCGAATTGAATGGTTGCTGGGATCACTGGGTTGCTGACATGAGTTGGGATAACCCTGTCCACAGGTATGGCTCTCGAAGTCTTCCATGCACATACCATTATCTCTCAAACTGTGATTCCTCTCCTGGCACTGGCGGGGCGAATTCGCATTGTGCGTGCTACTCGTCAGTCGCTGCTTTACTACGAGCTTTGCCTTTCTCCCCATTCTTCACTCCTTGATACATACAGTACGAACGTGCTCGGCGAACTGCCTGACTATCTATGCTATGGACTCCGTCCCAGAGTGGTTTCGTGAGAAGATTATACTGACAGAGCCTTCGATCATGTTTAGCTTCAGCTACCCAAACGGTGAACCTCAGACCCCGACGAGGACTCCTACAACTACAGTGTTCGGCGATTCCGCTTTTCAAACCCCCAAGCTCGAATCTAGTTTTTTCGACCCTCGAGTTACCTGGGACACATCGGATCCTTATGCATCAAGTCCGGAGTTCCTTCGAACACCCCAGCGATTCGGCCTGAGCACCCCTTCAAACCCCCTACGACTGCCAGACTCGGGCCCCGGTCGAACTGGAGGGGTGGATGCGTTGCAGGGCTTGGAACAGGAGACTGACACGGCCAAAAGGATACGTTCCACAAGGCCTAATGGTGGCTCAGGCGAGGACGGTCCTCGGACCGTGGACTCTGCAAAGTCCGCTGCATCTATGCAAACTCCACCCCCAAGCAGTGCATCAAGGAGGAAAATAACCGGGTTGGACAATGTCATCGACACAAACAGAAAGCACTCTCCGCATGTTGGTCATCTCGAGACCCCTAGCCGCTTGCTAGGTGCTTCACCCAGGTTTTTTGCGGGTCTCCAGTCCTCTCCAGACCCTTTCGACCTGGCTGCAATTGATCCGTCCGCCTCGCCGTTCTTTCCTCAGCAGAGGTTGTTTTGGGACAATGATATCGAGCAGCAGGGGGGAAGCCTGAGTTTGTCTGGGAACAGCATCAACCCCTTCGACTCGAGTGCTCCAACTTCTACAAACCAGAACCATAATCTAGCGTTGCAGGACACTCGAATCCCGCAACTACCAGCTATCGACGCCACCATTGACCTTCCCGAGGTTCACGGTCCCACGTATAGTCTCTCTGCTGCTCCTTCCGATGCAGCCCTATTCCCTGCTCCTTTCTCCACTTCCCCCCGTCTTCCTATAGCCAAGGCAGAAGATCCGGCTTTGTTTCTCTCTTCACCAGCCCGCCGTTTCGGTGGCCCTCAGCTGAGCCCAGATAAGAAACTCTTTTCTAAGCCACCCAGACAGCCATATCACCACCAGACTGAGGAATTCAAGCGAGAAGAGCTTCGCCGTGCGCAGAGCATTAACCATTCCCTCTCTGGCTTCGACGAGGAGGAGGACGACGATGATGATTTTACTCCTCGTCGATCCCGGCCGGGGCTCACTCGCAGTATGACTCATAGTGTTATAAATGCTCCCCCTCAGCGTTCCGTATCGGGACAGTCTACGTCTGGAATGATGGCTTCCAGCAGTGGCATTCGCAAAAGCCCGTCCAAGGGACGGTCCTCCCCCGTCAAACCCCTCCGCCAACAACTCACTAGAGCGAATACGGTTGCGTCTGGGTTGCCCACTCGCTCTCAGTCGCTCATTTTGAAAATAGGCAAGGATGGTAGAGCAAAGACCGAGATGCAGACTGTTGCTGAGGCATCCACTGGCCTGACGGACCCTGTGAATGGAATGGAGATTGACCAATTCGCAACTGAGAATGGATTCGACTCTACCGATCTTTCCGAGTACCCAAATCTTCCTGCCCGCCACTCTTCCTCCGTATTCTCGGACGTCGGCGAACCTACTGTGGCCCACAGTGATGCCGGCTCCCGGCCCCATTCGAAAGGCTCCTATACCTCCACTGCTGCATCATCCCAGTCTGGCAGGGCGTCACCCTGGGCTAGTGCATCTCGGGGCCCTGCAAGACGACCCGTGTACCGAGCAGCTGCGGATGAGTGGAATAGGACGACCCCCAAGCGGCAGTCGATGCTGATAAACTCGGATCTGACATACCCTAGCGTCGCGACCCCCTCGGAACTCCTTCCTGAGAATGAAGACGATTCTGGCGATGCCCAGCACGCACTTCGAAAAGTCCTTGAGGGGAGAGGACGACTTCCACGGTCCCAGACAATTGGCTATGGGTCACGGTCCAATAGGTCCTCACTCTCCTTTGCGCATTTACGGTCGTCTCCCCCACGCTTCGGTGCGGACCTGAATTCTCGGCCATCTAACACTTCCCCAACCACCATGACAGACCCTGACCTGGCGACTCCGACCACTGAACGCTACAGCAACCCAAGCAATGGCACCAGATGTGTTTGCCAGTCCATGGACAATGGTGGCCATCTCATGATCCAATGGTAAGCGAACATCAGCTTCGTTATTTTGTCATCTTTGCTTACCTTTCGCAGCGAATCGTGCAATCATTGGCTCCATACAAAGTGTGTCGGACTTGAGCGGTCGAATCTGCCGTCTGTGTATATGTGCGTATTTTGCGCCCAAACACCGACTAGGAAGAACCGGGTTCGAGGTCCAGTCAGTGCCACCGAACATGCGCCAACTTCACCTCTGGCCCATAAATCCTTCCGATTCCGGTAATTTCTCCGGTTTTCAGTTTTATAACTGGACCGGACATTTATTTTCTCTCTATTATCATGTCATCATGAATACGAAGTCACTGGTCATGACTAGCGTCAACAAGTGCCGTCTGTTCTTTGGAAGGCTCCTCCAGACTCACTGTTTTGACCTTTCGGATCATTCCTAATGTCTCTTTTGTCTGTCGCTTTATCAGAACCACTAGACATACCCCGTTTTCGCTGGAGGACATCATTTTTCACATATCCTGCATACCCACCTGTACTGACATAATGTCAATGCATCACAGTCGTGATTACTGTCATAGCTTATTTCCTATTTACTTCAATATGTGTCGGGGTTTGTCTGCCCCACTGAGTGATACCTATGTACTACTGTATCTAGCATTTCTGTTCAATCATGTTCATGACCCCCTTACATCTGGACTTGTACCCCGATGTAGTAATCCATAGTTGTATTTGTTGTCCTACATATGTCCGGAAGGCGGTGACACAATTAAGGAACCATATCAATTGGTGCAGCATGATTGGCTGAGCCCCCCGCTTATCGGCTCACCGCCCTTGATAGCGTTTGTGGTTTCCCGATCAATTATTTTCGCTTTCCGTCGGTGACTCCTCCCCCAGCGCCTCCTGCTCAACATCTGCCCCGTTTCATTCTTTTTCTCTTTTTCAGTCTGTCGTTCTTAGTATCTGACTGTCTTTCTTTGATTTGCATCCATGTCTACGGCACTTCCCGGCAACCGGGACCTTCCCGCGTCGCAATATGACCTGAACACTTACTGGGGTCGTGTTCGCCATGCGGCAGACATCTCCGATCCAAGGTGAGCATCTCATAATGTCTCTCTCGACTGTGCTGTAGTTCCGACTGACATGTATCCTAGGATGTTGTTCGTATCCTCGTCGGGTCTAGAACAAGCGAAGCGCCTTATTTCGTCCTATAAGCAGAATCATATCCCTGTTATGACTCCCGACTTATGGCGGGCGAAGAAGGTGGTGGACTCTACATTGCATCCAGGTGTGTTTGCGGTATTTGGTTGTTAATCTAAGTGTGGGGGTGTCTAACTTTACCTTGTCTAGACACTGGCGAACCGGTTTTCCTTCCCTTCCGCATGTCGGCTTACGTTCTTTCGAACCTGGTGGTGACGGCGGGCATGCTTACGCCAGGGTTGCAGGTATGAACCATCGGACTTTCGGAAATTGGTGAGGCATGACACTGACTGTATAGACTACTGGAACGCTTCTGTGGCAGATTGCCAACCAGTCGCTCAATGTCGCCATTAACAATGCGAACGCGAACAAGTCGACTCCCCTATCGGTCTCTCAGATGGCCAAGTCCTACTTGATGGCGGTATCAGCGTCGTGCTCGGTGGCCCTGGGTCTCAATGCGCTGGTCCCTCGGCTGAAGAACATTTCTCCCAACACCAGACTCATCCTCGGCCGTCTGGTACCCTTTGCTGCGGTTTCCAGCGCCAGTGCGCTCAATGTGTTCCTGATGCGTGGCGAGGAGATTCGCCAGGGCATTGACGTCTACCCTGTCCTCTCAGAGGAGGAGAAGAAGAAGCGCGAGGAGACCGGTGAGCCGGTCCAGAGTCTGGGCAAGAGTAAGAAGGCCGCCACGATTGCGGTTGGGGAGACAGCCGTCAGTCGGGTACTGAACGCTACGCCCATCATGGTTGTACCGCCCCTGGTCCTTGTGAGGCTGGAGAAGACAGCCTGGCTCAAGGCTCGTCCGCGTATGGTTACGCCGATCAACCTGGGCTTGATCCTGGCCACGTCACTGTTTGCTCTTCCGCTGGCCCTGGGAGCGTTCCCTCAGCGGCAGGCAATCAGCGCCCAGATTTTGGAAGAGGAGTTCTGGGGCCGGGGAGGCAAAGACGGGCAAGTTGAATTCAACCGGGGTATGTAGATTGGTGGATTGGGACTCATCGTATTTTGACGCTCTCAGCATTGCGTTGGTTCTTCATTTCCTTTTGGCAGGGGCGGGAATCTGAATATAGAAGCCCTCGTCCAGTGGCATGCACATGGATTGTTGATATCATGTTGTTTAGCGTATAGATCATCTACATATATACCACTGCTTGCCGATGACTCCCTGATTCTTGAGCTCTTTACTTATAGTGTGCTGTTCCTGTAAAGTATTCAGTTCGATCCGACTACTGTCTCACCTCACGCTGACCACTAATTAACTAACCGATGACTCACTATCCCTCCCCACAACAAGATATATATTTCTTCCAACTTACAACATCCAAATCAACTCCTCATAATAATTAAGTCACAAGTCAATCGAACAAAATGGAAGACTCATTCCCCCCACCTTTCCGCACCGCCCGTCTACAATTCCACCCGATGGTCGACGCCGACGCGGCAGGCATCCACGCCATCCGCGGTTTAGAGGAGGTCATGAAATGGAGGTATTCATATCAACCTGTCCCATCCATCTGATTTGAGAATGGTCGTACTGAGACAGGATAGTCTAAAAAAAGTCCCTGATGCGGATCTCGCGACGACAAGGAAGTGGGTGGAGGAGTACCTGAGGCCGGAGCCGCGGACGCCTGGGAATGTGGGGTATGTGCTTCGGGAGATTGGGTCTGGGTCTGGGTCTGGGTCTGGGTCTGGGTCTGAGTCTGAGTCTGAGGCTTCTGGGGCGGGTGGAGACGGAGATGGGAAGGGTGAGTTTCAGTTACTCGTCTTGTTTGGGGCGTACGTCTATGTGTGGTTGGAGGCTAAGAGACAGGCAGGCCGGATTATCGCTTCTATTGGCTTGCACTATGGACTCATTGAGGAGCTGGGGGAAAAGCGCTGGGAGCTGGGGTATATCTTTCACCCTGACTTCTGGGGGAAGGGGTATGCGACTGAGGCTGTGAGGGGGTTGATGGGTGCGTGGCCGGGGATCTATCAGAGAGTTAATTGGGGGGATGTTGTGCAGCAGGAGCGGAGCGGAGAGGTGGTTGCCATCACGGACGACGGCAATGAGCCGAGTAAGCGTGTTTTGAGGAAGTGTGGGTTTGAAGCTATGGAGGAGTTTGTGGACCAGGATGGGACAAAGTGTGTGGCTTTTGTTTATAGGGGTTAGCTTATGGTTGGCTTCGTATTGATACCATGTTGTTTGTGTGTATATACTCGATAGAATGGCTAGATGGGAAGCTCTGGCTGCCGTCTGCCCTGGATGACTCTCTCAAACTGCTCTGCAATGTCTAGCAGGTCATTGTCTTGCCATGGTTTGCCCATGAGCTCCAAGCCGATTGGTACACCGAGAGGAGCCGACTCGGTGTGAGGACTGAACCCAGCTGGACATGGTTAGCGACTCCTCCACAGCACATATTTCATATAATTCACATACCAGGTAGACATATCGCTGGCCTTCCTGTCAACGCTGCCAGAATACCATTCCTCCGTGGCTGGACCATTGACCCGATTGAAGCGACCAGCTGTCTTTGGTGCGGGTAGACGAGGGCGTCCAACTGATGTTCCTCGAAACAATCATCTACAGCCTTCTTCAATGCTGCAATTGTCGCCAGGCGAGACCCATACTCCGGGCTTTGCATTGTATATGGACCGCCCTTCTGCAATGTGCGACAGAGGACCGGTGTCACGGCTTCCTGGAGGTACTCTCCACTGGCGACAATCGAGTCTAGTGATCGATGGGGCGTGGATGCGATTAATGGCGATTGTAGGAAGGTGTCGAAGACAGTGCGGAACTCGTATGCTTGCATGTCCGCCGTGGAAATGAGAGTGGGAATGTCCCAGTGAGCACTCTGGGGAGAGAGCGTGACGAGCTCAACTTGCAAGTCAGCTCTGGCTTTATCAAGCGCTTTCAGCACTGTACGGTTGACAATTGAGCCTTCGGGGTCACAGTCGTCCGCGAAGAATGATCTCAAAATGCCAATTCTTTTGCCGCCATCACCTGTCCCAGAGTCGCGCTCCGTTGCGTCACGTCGACAATCGAGAGTAGCATCGTCCCCCCTGTCCTCGCCCTTCATCACATCAAACAAGACACGGACATCTTGCACTGTCCGTGCCATCGGCCCAGCCACATCCTGCGTCTCAGTGACAGGGATGATGCCTCTCCGCGAAATCTGTCCCCTCGTCGGTCTAAGTCCGACGATCGAGCACGCCGATGCAGGCGAGCGTAGCGAATTCATCGTGTCCCCGCCACATCCTACAAGAGCCAAATTCGCTGCTAGAGCAGCAGCCGTCCCACCTGATGAGCCGCCGGGTGTCCGACTGAGGTCGTACGGGTTCCGCGTCTGACCTCCCAGTGAAGAAACGGTGACGCCCTCCAGCGAAAGTTCGTGGAGATTGCCCTTGCCGAGGATAATGGCGCCAGCGCGACGCAGCTTCGTGACGACAAAGGCGTCGGCTTTTGTCTGGAGGGAGTGGAGGGCTTTTACTCCGGATGTTGTGGGCATGTCAATGGTGCTGTAGGTGTCTTTCAGGATGACGGGGACCCCATGAAGGGGCGGAAAGGCATAGTCTTTCCCATGTTGCTGTAGGAATGCCTCTGTTTCCTGGTCTCTTTGTCGGGCGATGTCGAGTGCATTCTTGTTGACGGTTATTAGAGCTTTGAGCAGGTTATTATATCGTGATATTCGATCAAGGTATACTACCACGACCTCGGTGCAGGTCGTCCTCCTCTCGCGTAGAGCATCATGGTATTTTGATATCGCAAGCTCTTGGATGTCAATGAAGCCTATGCTGCCCATGTCTCCCTTTCCCTTTGAACAGGACGAAATCAGTCCATTTGAATCTGAAGTGCACGCGAGGATATATCAATCCGCCCATGAATGAGGGGTAGTGTATAGCTGAGGACCGGGATTATTGATCAGTGAGTTGGGGTCAGTATTTGCATCGTCTATCGAATTACGGTGGACTGAGATCAACTAGATAGCGTCATGCTACCTCTCTATTAGTCTGTCGTTGTGGTTCACATCGATGTCTTCTGTTACACTTCCAGTATCTCCATCATTCCTAGTATGTCTTCGTCTTCGGCCAAAAACGAATCGCGCCATCTCATTAGAGATCAAGTATATCAGCAGTCTCGTTTGCGAGACTGCTGATCTGTATTCTGTTGCGTGAACCCCACTTACTCCAACTTCCTTTGGAGGCTTGGAGCATGGATCAACTAGTGTGACTGTGGATTGCTAGTTGTGGAGACGGACCTTCGGAATGGTGTGGCGTCCCTGGATTGATAACAATGGCTGGTTGGGAGAGGGGCATCGCGCTATCCAGGGCTGCGCATGCGGTCTTGTAGCCCAGACGAAGACAAGTTGTTGTTGATGATGTTGGCAGTGAGATGCATCAAACGAGAAGGTAAATTCTATCCATTCATTTTATCAGTGCAGCTGTGCCAATGTCGCTGCACCATGAAAACGGTAAGCACTGGATATATGATATACACGAAAAAGATATAAATCAATGGCAGATCCATGTAGACGACTACTGTATCATGTCGCCTATAAATGACTAGGACCCAAATAATGCGCTGTTTGTCAAACCCATCTGTGCCAGACGCTCGCTCCTATTGTAAGCTTGCCAATATAGAGTTGAGTACGCCGCTTAATAAAGAATCGAATCAAAATAAAAATGAGTGATAAATCAAGCCGAAGAAGAAGGAATATTGAGGCATAGCCCCATGCAAGATGTAAAGTAGGCTTGTATCATATCACCGGCGCCCAGAAGTAATGAAAAATAGTAGACAAAATGCGCGTAGGGCGATGAACAAACCCTCCCGCTGCCCAGAAGGGGAAGGTTGAATGGATGATTGAAAAAGGGGACAAAAATAAGATAAAATAAAAAGCCGTCCACGCAAGCCCATAAATCCAGGATATAACCCTTAAAAATGAATCAGATAAAATAGAAAAAACCATATATGTCCTCCGTAATCGTTGACTCCAGGGTATGCTTTGGAGTTCGAGTTCCCTTGCTCTTTCTTTTCTGCTGATTTTTTCAAGTTCGAAACAATCATGAATCACAGATGCCCCTTGTCCATGTAACTGAAGTCCGTCAAATTGCATCCCATAGTCCTTGCGTTAAGCACCAAACTCCGTAGTCACATAAGATATTGTGCGTAGAATATGCCCCATGGGCCAAAAGCGTAGCCGTCGTTGACTTCGCAACATCTGCTCAAGCTTGGCCACGTCGATCAACACTATCCAAGAAAAGAAAGAGTTCTTCACTGTCGCATATCCTTAGACAACGGTCATGGCGGCAACTATTAAAATTCAGACGTGTCCGAGATGAGAGTACCAGCGACGTTGCCCCTCTTCAACATTAAGTATCGAGACGCCTAGCTGCGTTGACCGCCGTTGCGTTGCAACTGTTGACCGATGCGAAGAGCCTCGGTGCCATCATCAACCAAAGACTCCTTGAACCACGGGTGCTTCAGAGCCTCTTTGGCAGTAATACGGTTCTTGGGGTCGTAGACAAATATCCGCTGAAGAAGGTCAAGGAACAAGCGATGGAATGTGGTGCTGGTGGGGATGAAATCCTGTGCGGTTCGTTAACAGCTGTTGTGTAAAAGATTCGTCGCAAATAGACCTACAGTAAGCTGCTTCATAGCCCTCACGTACTTGCGCGAGGCCCGTGTCGTTTCCTCATTAGGATAATCGAGCTTGTTTCGGTTGAAGTATCTGGGCTGAATTAGCATCAATGTTCTCACAGAAGCGTAAGGGTTCGGAGCGTACTTTGCCGCCTGGTTCTGACTTCCGTTTCGACCACCTTGGGTTGTTTGCTTGACCAGCTTCGTATCAATTTTAGAGCCAATAACTGCCTCCATCATGGCAAGATGTTCTAGGTTGTCGTGCGTCTGGAAAAGGGCGTCCCCGGTGAAGAATTCAACCAGAATGCAGCCGATACTCCAGATATCACATGGGAAACTCCAGCCCAGATTCAAGATGATTTCGGGAGCACGGTAATGTCTCGTGGATACCACCGACGAGTGATACTCATCATCAAAAGTGGCAGACCCGAAATCGATGAGACGGATTTCGCTGTCCAATAACACACGTCGCTGACGGGCATTCCGTGAAACTGCGTGTGATGAGGATGGGATCGTTCGGTTGTAGGTGAATGTCTGGTATGCGTTGCTGACGAGGAGGATGTTCTCGGGTTTCAAATCGGTATGTATGAGATTAAGATCATGCAGAACTGGACTTGTCAGTATGAAATCGCCCGAGACCAGAGAAAACCACAGGCTGACTCACAGGCTACGCTCGTGAATAGCTGCCGAGCGAAGTTCTGAATCTGGCTACTGGGAAAGGGTACAAAGCCGTTGCCTTTGAGGAAATCAAAGACACTCTGGCCCAAAAGATCCGTGACAATGCAGATATGGTTTCGGAAATCGAAGCAATCACGTAGGTGAATGCACTTGTTTCGGTTCGATTTATCATTCGAGGCCAACGTCGATAGAACCCGAAGTTCAATTCTGGACGCGTCACGGTACTTCTGTATCGACCGAATGATCTTGACTGCGCAGCGAGTCTTGCGCTGCCTGTCATACGCTTCAACCACCTTGCCGAATGTACCCTGTCCTAGAAGCTTGATGATCGAGTCTGAAAAAAATTAGCATCTGTTGTCATGGAAGGCAAATCAACTGGCACGAAAACTCACATCGATCTGTCAATGGAGTATCTGGCGTAACAATGTAGTGACCATCATCATCGTCATACTTCTCATGGCGATTTCCATACTGCAGAGAGTGTTAGCGAATGCATCCAGATACAGAACCGTCAATACTCACATCTCGAACGACAGGTACTGGGACTTCCTTGGCCTTGATCGGTGGCTTGGGAGGGGGGATGTAGCTGAGGAATGCATCACCGGCAGTTTCCAATTCCCGCCGTTTCTGCTCATCGCGGGCTGACTTGCGTGTTGTCACACGTTTCCGCTTCTGGCCAACATTGGCGTCTTCATAATATACACCGTTGGTAGCACCCGCACTGCCCTGCGAACCCAGGGATGTGGGAGCGGTTGTGTGTAGGGAAGTCGTGCGGTCTGTAGAAATGGAGGCTGCGGAAGACTCTTCTCCGTATTGCTGAGGAATGGTGGAAAATGATGGACGATCGTAGTATCCCA